AACCTTGGGATCTCCCCACCCACTCTCGCCCTGCCACACGAACGAGTCAGGTGCTCTCATGTGCATGCCCACCACCACCACCCTATCGCTTGAGGAGTGATGGGAGGCTTCTGATTGGCCAGCGCTCAGGTGATGTGAGGAATGGGCTTGGGGGAGGGTGGGGGGGAGGAGGAGGAGGAGGAGGAGGAAGAGGAGGAGGAGGAGGAGGAGGAGGCGAGAGGGGAGAAGAGGTGGTGGTACATGGCTTCGGTTCGTGACAGGACATCTGGCAGAGGCCTGGCGGTGGTAGAAAGGGGGAGGTGGGGAGGAGCGGGAGGGGACAGGGGTGTGTGGAGGGGTAAGAGAAATAAGAGGGCTTAGAGCAAAGGAAAGAGATATGGGAAGGGGATTGGCTCGCGAGAGCAGGGTCATGAGTTGCCTTGAAGCCTTGAAGCCATGGGAGAAAGATGCACATGAAATCAGATTAGTAAGCCCTGAAGGATTGGATTACGAGGAACGGCGAGAGAATCATGGAAACATGATGGAAGTAGGAGAGTGAGAGGAGAGAAGTGCGGTGGAATTTTGCATGAAAGTATGGTGAACGACGTTGAATCCATGACGAAAGCATGGAGAAGGTAACAAGAATTCAAAGTTTCGTTCAATCCAGAGAGACCTTAAGTACAACCCCTGAAAGAATTTCGGCAGCATATTCAAAGCAGCACCTCATGCAGCCTCACACCATCAGTTTCGCTGATGGGACCCACTTTGAAACGTGATATGTGTGCCAACTGGAGACATACTTGAGAACAAAAAGAAGGGAAAGCGGAAGGTGCATTCTTACGAAGCACCCCAAAAGTCATTTCTTATTTTTTTCTTCCCATAGGGACGTACTTGAGAAGGAAGCGGAGAATGCAGCCAAAGCTGTAGGGAGGCCTCATGCCCATGCTCTTGAGCATGCCGCTCCATTTCTTGCCCTCCTCCTGTACCCAGCAAAGTTAGATGAGCAGCATAGATGAACAGCACAGCACGTGAGCATGACGAGAAGGGAGGGAAGGGTGGAGAGAGAATGTACCACTTAAAGCCCACTGACGCGCAAAGGCCACTATTACACTTTTGAGATGACTCGCAAGTTCCTTCCCTTCCTGTTACCACAGAACCGCTTCACCCACCTCCGCAAGCCAGTACGTGAGCAGCCCTCTGTTCCACGACAAGCGCACGTTCATCGCCTTATCCAGCTGTGCAAAAATATCCTCTGGCTCAACGAACCGCTGATTCTTCAAATCTACCTCCACCACCTCCCCATCCTGTACTACCTCCGCTGCCGCTTCTCTCCCTTCTCCTCCTCCTACTACTGTTTCAGGCCCCCCTCCCTCTCCCCATCCCATCACATCATCAATATTCATCACGCGGGCCGGCTCCACAGGAACCTCCGGTGAGAAGGACCAATCAATGAGATTCGGCTCGAATGCAAGTGGCAGGAGAGCGTGCCGTACAATGAAGGCCCGGTTTGTGAGCATGGCGCATGCGAAGCTGGTTGCTAGCCCTGTGAGATAGTCCCCAAGCCCACCAGGTTCATCCAGCCATTCGTATGTGAGGAAGCGAATGGATGGATCCCTTGGAGGCTCTGGGTATGTGGCTGGGGGTGGTGGGGATGGTGGTGGTGGGGGTGGATAAGGGGGGGACGGTGGAGGAGGGGACGGGGGAGGGGGGAATGGAGGGGGAGGCAGCGGAGGAAGAGGAGAGAGTAGGGGATCAGGTGGTGGGGGTGATGGTGGTGGGGGTGACGGTGGTGGGGGTGACGGTGGTGGTGGTGACGGTGGTGGCAGCGGCGGCGGTGGTAGTGCAGCCGCAGCAGCAGCAGCTACAGCAGCGGCAGCAGCAGTCTGAGCGAGGGTGCTGGCGTGGGCGCGGGCAGCGTCGCGAATGCGGGAGTGCAGGGCGGAGTAGTCAGCCGCCCAGGTGCCACACTGTGCCTCGGAGAACGCGAAATCCAGAAACGGCCTGGGAGGGGACGCTGATGCACAGAACGGGGAGAGGAGCTGCTTCAAGGGAGAATCAGAAGATGGGGGAAGGGGTAGAACGGGAAAGGGGAGAAGGAGAAAGGGGTAAGACGAAATGTATTGGTTGAGAGTTCGCTTATGAGTACGTGGGAGTGAGCATGGGTGGTAGGAGTGAGCATGGGAGGGTGGGAGTGAGCATGGGAGGGTGGGAGTGAGCATGGGAGGGTGGGAGTGAGCATCATGGGAGGGTGAGAGTGAGCATAGGACGGTGGGAGTGAGCGTGGGAGGGTGGGAGTGAGCATGGGAGGGTGGGAGTGAGCATGGGAGGGTGGGAGTGAGCATGGGAGGGTGGGAGTGAGCATGGGAGAGTGGGAGTGAGCATGGGAGAGTGGGAGTGAGCATGGCGTCAGTCTGGCGCCATGCTCCCCACTGATTTGGCGATAAATTGTCAGCAGTGTGCTGTGCGGTATGGTTGGCGGAATATCAGTCCACCTTAGAGTCGGTGAGCGGCGTATGGGTGGAGGAATAGTAAACCTGGGCGTACCAACCCAAGGTGGGAGGCTCGAGCTGGAGGCCTAAGGATAACGGATCAGATCCCGCCATTGATTTCGCAGTCGCCGGGTCAGCCCAGAAGCATACCATGATGGTGCGTGTGGTTAAGAACCGTATTCGGACCCTTTCGAGCGGGAATCAGTTGAAAGTTTGGAGGCGCTTCAGAATTCAAAGCGTTGAAGGGAAGCAGAGAATGGATAGGACTCGCAGAAAGGCTAGGGGAAGCACGAGTCGAGCCTCGGAGGCTCCAGCCGAGGCCATAGGGAAAGTCCAATGGAACCCCACTTAGGAGGTGTATCTTTGCAAGGCAGCGGCATTGTTTAGTTAAAACGTTTTTAAGTTACAGTAGGGCTTGCTTTAGAGACCTTTGTGAAAAAATTGGTGGTCATAGGGAAAGCACAGAATCTTGCTTCCTCGGTTTAGAACATCCAGGGAGTCGCTTCGCATAACAACTTACACGGCAAGGCTACTGCCTGTCCATTGCCACATTAAGGCCGTTGCCTGCCCTGAATCTGTCCCTTGGGTACCGATGACGAATTTAGCCGGATAAATGCCCGTTACTAACACAACTGTCGCCTTGATGCCCGGGGCCCGTGCATCCGAGGGAATTTTCGGCCGATCAATCGTGTCCCCTACTCGGCAGAATCCTAAAACGTCCAGCCTTCAGTTATAATTATTATTATTCTTTGGAAGCTGAGGGTACCCTCAGACGCGTCAAACGGCAGGAATCGAGTCGCGCTCGCCCGAAACCAAGTCGCGCTCGCCAAATTTGGCGAAAATTGGCAAGCGCGACTCGGTTATTTGCGTTTGTGACGCGTCTTAGAGGAGTGTACCCTTAATCACTCCACTGACATTCTCAGCACGGACGAGCCATCATCGCGGATTTGTCAGCCCCAATTTGGGCTGCCCTAGGTTTTTCTACATAAAAGCTTACAAGAAGTCCCAACAAGCCCCAAAAAACATCCCGCTGTTTTTGCGGCTTTAACGCGTCCAGTCCAGCGGAAGGAGAAGTAGAGAAAAAACTTGATGAGACGCCGAAACCACCTCGAAAGGCTGCACTCACAAGTTGGAAAGCGATGGCGAGCACGCGGCTAAACAGGACCACAAATTGCTGGCGACTTCGCCTTGACGTCATTGGGACGCGTCGCCGGATGTCCCAAAGAAGCTATCTATGACGTGACGTTGATTGACTTTGACTGTACCCCCGTTCAATGTCCTGAACTGGCACAAGTTTTACCCGCATAACATGTGACGATGACAGGCGTCCTCAGTAGTGTTTATGGTGTTTTATCTTCCAACCCAATGATCAATGGCGGTGTTCTGCAAGGCACACTTCCGATTTCCATTTCCTGGTAGGTCTGGGACCAGCAAAACATGTGTGAGCTTGTCAAGCTAAAGTAGTGGCCCTGTTCGATGGCAAACATGCAACTATTCTCCCACCATTGTTGTCACACAATGGTGGGAGTATAGTGAGAAATGACAGGTGGCGCGGCAGCGCCGGCAGAGTAATTATTGAAGTGACTGCCTGCCGGCTTCAATCACTGAGTCCAACGGCCGAGGTGGTCCAGATTTGTCACCGCTGCGTACTTCTTCCTTTCGCGCAACCGATTGGTGCACGCCCCGTCGTATCTGTGTGACTCCATTCCACAGTCGCCGCCTGGTCGCAGAGGGTCTCCCTCACAAATCCCCTGGAAGCAGCTCGCGGACACCAAATTCCCACCCAAAGCCGCCGGCCGAGACGGCGGAAAGAAAACCAGCTACTGCTTGTTTTCGCGAAGAGAACCAACTTTTGCTGGTTTTCGCGAAGAGAACGAGCTTCTGCTTGAGTTCGCGAAGAGAACAAGCTTCTGCCTGTTTTCGCGAATAGAACCAGGTTCTGCTTGTTTCACTAAAAGGCCCTATTATACCACATAATGAGAGTGTATTCTGTTACGGTATGCTGTTCCTATATTGTGCCCATATTGGAAGACCAGTCAAGAAAACCAAAGCAAGCTCAGTGTGGATCACGAAGTCACCACATATTTCGAGCACAAGCAAATGGCCACAAGGCCAGTTCACATGCAGAGTTATATAAAAGAGAACAAACAGTACAGTAATCACTCCCTAGCATTAGTAAGCATGCAGGTATATATGTATAGTTCACAGTACAAGCAACGCAACGTAGTGAGCAAGTGAGACGAAGCAGGCACAAGGCCTAAAGCAATACATAAATGCTGATGATCACCAGGCGGAAGTGCCTTGGAGAATATATCAGCAGTTTTGGCTCGAGTGGCCATGTAAGCAAGACGAAGCTGACCACGCTGCTGCAACTTACGAGCAAGAAAGTAACCCAAAGCGATGTGCTTCGTACTGTGCTCCAGTCTATGCTCTTGACACAAGGCAATAGCGGCCTTGTTGTCTACGTACAGAACTGGAGGAGAACGAGGTCGCTCTCCCAAGTCGGTCAGCGGGTATGTGAGCCAGCGTAAC